AATTATCACCGAAGTTGTACTATTGCCTGAAAGGAGGGAGGGAGATTAATATGAGAAGGGGAACAGTTCCTGGATGACTTGTATAAGACCATGAACATTGTTGGTAAGGTGATTTCACACAAGGGCACCCTATATTAAAACACAAGCACATGTCTATGAACATTTAGACTGAAAAATACCATAAAATAGAGGCAAGTGCCAATGCACATAGGAAAACGCATTTTAGAACACTTCAAAGTTGTATATAAAAACACAGGTGGATTGATGGAAGGTTTGAACATTCACAAGGACTCAGGACATAAGATGATTCATGAATACAAGAGATACAGTGATTCTTTCTCCTAGTATATATTTCAAAATGACAGAGGCCCCAAGTCTGGGTGGATTTAATTAGAGAATTAAAGATTCCTTTGTTCCAAATCCATCCATTTTACCATACATCAGCTAAATGGTGCTGCTCAGAGTTAGAGTCTTACTATGTGTAGTGTTTACAAAATCTATGAGGAAGAGACTTTGGGTCTGCTAAGATTCTAAAATTGTTGCTAAGTTTGTCACTGAGACACCTTCACGCCTGAACATTTAGTAAAGTGAGGGCTGTGGCTTGTTCATAAATCATGACAAATCGCTAAGCGCTGCGTGGTGGCCTCACTCATGAACATTGCTTTCTGCCAGAGCAGAAACACCACAAATTGGATTTTCAGGGCATGAATATATGCTACTGTACATTGGACAGATATATGTTTAGGATTCTTGTTCCAAAGTGAACATTGTAAAATCAAATACATCTCTCAAGTCCTGGTAAATTGATACTCCTTGGTGCATACTGCAGTGGTATTGTTTGGTAAATCAATCTCAGAGAGCATGCAAATGCCTTATTTTCTAAAAACTGAGCATCTTTAAAAGACCTTGTAAGAGCCTCATTCAAAAGATTCTCCACATCTTTGATACACCATCCCTAATTAAGTCAATATTTGACATTGACATTTTTACTTGTTGACATTTTTTTTTCTGAAAAGTTAAACATAGAAAGTTTTATAAAAGAACTAGTGGCCTGGTGCACGAATTTGTGCACATTGAAGGAAGTTAATTAGAAGAAATATTTTAATATTGCTATTTTCCCTTTCTCTATAACAGAAGGACAACCAAATTCATGATCAACAATGACACATGCGATTGGGCGCCAGCAAGAGCTTTATATGTATTGCACATGGGTGAGTTAACTTAGCCTTTTATATATACAGGCAATCCTCGGGTTACATTGGACTCAACGCACATCATTTTATGGTTATGTTGCCATTTCCCATATATATATATAAATAATAAAAAAATAAAGCACATATGTATATATGTGCTTTATTTTTTTATTATTTATTTACTACAAGTAAAGGTCAGGTATTGCTCTTTATTTTATTACTATTATATTTTTTTTTACTGTTTCACTTCATTGCTGCTGTGTATGTGCTCCATGTGAGTGACATAGTTGCTTATGTAGGGGGGTTCTGACTTAAGGCAAAAATCATGTTATATTGCACTCTAGGAATGGATCTCTAATGTAACCTGAGGACCTACTGCATAAAATAAACTTACTGAATTAGACCTGATTTCTGATTTACCTAAACTTTTTCCAGCCCAGTGAAGCAACCTAACTTATTTTTCAGGTAATTGTTAGCAACATAGCAGTAACTATCAACACAAAGCAGATTATTATTATAGATCATGCAGGGAGAACAAAGGGTAAAATATTTCACTGCAGCAGTGTTTGACTATATTGTCCTCAGTGAGAAAACCTGAAGTCATTTTCAAGGTCCACCATTTCTTACTACTTTTCAGTAGGGTCAGGTTTCTAAGCTTATTAAATCTCCATTTTCTAGCTAATGAAAAGAAAATAGAATTCCACCATGTTTCCTATCTGCCTACTCCAGAACTTCTGTGAGGATCAAATAAGATAAAGTATGGGAAAAAGCTTCACAGACATTTGGTTACAGTGTAAAATGTTTGCATCTGGCTATAAAGCAAGTCATATTCCTGGGCTGAGGAAACTGAAAGGAGGCTAGTTGCTAAGGAAGGGAGGCTGGGTGTTGCTAAGTGACATCATTACTTGGATGGGCACTAAGCATTATAAGTATATATATATATATATATATATATATATATATATATATATATATATATACACACACACACATACACACACTAGAGGCCCAGTGCATGAAATTCATGGGGGGCAGGGGTCCCTCAGCCCAGCCTGTACCCTCTTGCAATACAGGATGCCTCAGGGGATGCCTGACTGCTGGTTTAGGCTAGATCCCTGTGGGATTGGGCCTAACCAGCAGCCAACATCCCTCTTGCAATCTGGGACCACTGGCCGGCCTGCCTGCCTCAGCCCCACACCTGGGACTCAGGCTTCTATCCTTTGGCTGGCCTCAGGCAACCAGGACCTGGGTTTCCCTCCCTCTGGCTGGCCATAAGCATAGGGACCCATGCTTCCCTCCCACTGGCCAGCAGCAGGCACTGGGACCCTGGGTGGTGCCATTTGGGACCCGGCTTTGTCAGGAAGGATGTTGGGAAGATTTCTCATCTATCCAGTCTAATCAACATATTACCCTTTTATTCGTATAGATATTTTATTTGACTATCATTCTCATCTTTTTCATGAGGCTTACTGCTGATAAACGCAGTATTACTTCTAATGTTAAATTTGAAATAAAAAGTAAAAGCCAAAAACTCCCAAGAAAACCAATTCATCAACAATTTAACAGAAATATCAATGAATATTAGCTACAGTTCACTCTTACACATATCTGTGTGCCTGTGAAGTCTGAGTCTCTGAAGTCTCTGAAGAGTGTCCCTGATGCCTGAATATCTCCCAAGAGCTAGAGCACCTTTCACAACCAGAGGAGGCCACATGATGTTGTCGCTGCTTTCTCTCACAGAGTGGTGCTGACAAAGTTTACATTTAAGATGAGAAAATTATTTGATTTGATAAAAATTTGTAAAGCCATATGTAGTGAAGGAGAAGTAGAAAGTATGGTTTCACAATCAAGTCTATTTAGGATAAATCCTAGTGTTGTGTTCTGGCACCAGCAGTTTCTGGTGCTATATCTTGGGTGGGTGGCTGTTTATAGAAAAATACGTAAGTATACATACATATATTTTAGATGTTTGCTTACACATGTGACCTGTAATTGGTGTTCAGTAGTTGTCAGTTTCCTCAATGTTGCTATAAGTGGATATACATTTTTCCAAATTTGAGCATAACTCATCATGGTGTTTGTGCCCAATGTCACTGGATTGGACTCTCTCAGCTAGAATTGTGAGGACCTGCCACAAGTCCTTTCTCCTCCCACCCTGTGTACCCGAAGGGCTGACCCTGAGGCAACAGGCTCGCCATGCTTTGGGCATTGTAAGTGATGGGGAGCCAGAGCGGGAGTGACTGCAGTACTGCCCACATCCCCCCTGCCTTTCCTCCTCCGCCCACCCAGCATCCTGTCTCCCCAGAAATGTAAAGGCTGAAGGCAGTTTTGAAGGGAAAGCAAGGGACTGAAATGTCCTCTGCTTCCAAATCTAGACACCCCACTCATGCTTGCAAGCAGTATTTTAAATAACATCAGTTCCACTGTGTATCCGGCAACAGTAAGCCTGGAGGCATCGAGGACCTACATCAGGCCCCATCTTCAAAGTGTCTGAGTTCCTGGGAAGCACAGGTAAGCCAGCAGGCAATGGAGGGCACTGGTCTCAGGAGCTCCGAGCCCGGGAATCTGCTAGTCCTGGCACCACATCTGATCCCGAGGACTGGCTGAACGATGCTATTTGATTCTAAAGAATATGACACTCCTGGTTTTAAAAAATTAAACAAAAGGTCTCAAAAAATGCACTTCACTGTGAAAACAGCCAGTCTGACTCAAGACACCTAAGGAAATAAACAGTCCCACATCTACTTGTCACTCGAAAACCAACATCAATTCTTAAAAACGTTCCTTAAAATGGAAGATGTTTTAATTCTTATTTCAAACCCCAAACAAAACAAAAACCTGTAAAATGTATGGGAGCTTCAAAATTGAGAAAAAAGTAGAATGGTTTCCAAAAGTTTAGTTTAAAAATGAAGAAACCCACCATCTCTGTGTGTATTAACACCTAATATTACTAGTGTATTTTTTTCCCCCACTGAAGTGGGGACAGCACAGAAAAGCACCCATGGAAAGCACAGCCTTGCTGGGGAAAAGGAGGGGGTGGCAGGGGGAGAGCCCTGAGGAGATATGAACAGGAGAGAGTAGCCTATCAATTGCCAAATCTTCACACTGCATGTGTACTAAGAAAAAGATACACGTTTGGCGATGTTCTAGACCAGCCGGGACATAAACTACACAGTGTTCTGTTCAGGGTGTGAGCGTCCGAGGCCTCCCTGAGGCTCCCTCTGCCTGTGTCCCCTGCCCACCTCCTGGTCAGGACCTAGCACTGCCAGGCACAGAGCCCGGGGAAGTTCTTTACTTCCAAGCTGAAGACGGTTTATAAAGAAGAGCAGTTTTTAATGTAAGTTTGTTTTGTAGTTTTCAGCCTCTCAATTCTTCCTAACCATGGGTAAAGGCTGGGCACAGTGTCTCCAACGCTAGCCCAGAGGACAGGTTCTCATGCCCAGATTTGGAGGATGCTCAGCTCTGCTACAGCTTTGTCACTGAGTAACTGGGTCACATTCCCACTGACAATCAGACTCTGGTGATGTTTTTGTTTTTATAAATAAAGAAGTGGGGTCCTCTCCGTGAATTACCCGCGATCCCAGAAAAGCAGGAACACACTAACATTTCTGCAACAGACATCTCCATTTCCTGGGACAGGGAGCCACGCTAGAGAAGGCCTCTATGTGCCTTAACCATGTCAGCATGAGCACTCAACAAACAGCTCCTAAGCTTCCCACAATGTGGACACAGGAAAGTGGCAGACAAGATGACTAGTGACCAGGATCGCATCCCAGGTTCATTTATCTGGAGAGAAAAGAGTCCTACCCAGATGCTGTCTTCCTGCTGGTACTGTTTCCAGTTGTGTCCTGTGTCACTGAACAGGAGGCTGTAGCTCGTCACCCAGTCAGAGCTCCCGTATCTCCCCTGCGTGGCCACTGCGGTGACCTCCACTCTGCCCCCCAGGTCCATCTGGAGCCACTGCTGGGCGTTGGAATCTTCCGGGGACCACCCACCAGCTCCTGGAAGAGGATCAGACAAAGAGAGGAGTGACATCTCACATCTCACGGCTTTGATTTGCAAAGAGAAATGAAACAGTGTTCAACGAGGACATCTTTACCCCAAACTTCTCGTGGCTCTGTGCTAATCCCCTGGCAATTTCTTCACCCAACTGTCAGCCTCATGGCTGCCATTATGGAATAAGATTAACAACCAAGCCGAAACTGGTTTGGCTCAGTGGATAGAGCATCGGCCTGTGGACTGAAAGGCCCCAGGTTTGATTCCGGTCAAGGGCATGTACCCTGGTTGCTGGCACATCCCCAGTATAGGGTGTGCAAGAAGCAGCTGATTGATGATTCTCTCTCATTGATGTTTCTAACTCTCTATCCCTCTCTCTTCTTCTCTGTAGAAAATCAATAAAATATATTAAAAAAAAAAAAAAGATTAACCGCCAGTGCTGTTTCCTCCATGCTTCCCTCTCTGTCCTCAGTCACCACAGTTTCACCTCCTGCATTCCTAGTGAATGTTTACAACCTTTTAACATGTCTTACATCCTCTGCTTCACTAATACCCCCTTCCTTTCTTCTTCTCATTTTCCTTTTAGCCCTCTTTCTCCTTCTTCTGCTCATTTCTCTCAAAATGCATCCTATTTGGAGACCAGGGTTTTCCTGTGGGAAAATCGCTGACTGTGCCTTTGGGAATTTGTGCTCATTCACCCACCAGAAGCAGCTGGTGCTGGGGAGAGGCTGCAAAGGCAAATGAGGAAGGGATGTGAGAGGAAGTGTGCAAGGGGAGAGCACAGTGCAGTGCGGTGGGAGCACAGCAGGCAGGCTGGCTGAGGAGATAGAGAAGCTGAAGGACAGCGCGAGTGGAGCTGCAGCCTGAGAGAGGTATGGCTGCTTTCTGGGCAGACAGGGCGGGACAAACACTCATTGGAGAGATCAGCCAGAGCCCTGCGGGCAGCTGCACACACCTCAGAGACCCCGCGAGGGCTACGCTCCTGGACCTGTGTGTGACTCGGGGTGTGGACACACAGGGGCAGTCTACCATGGGACACACACCGTTGGGCTGAGTTTCCATTTTTGACACACTGGAAGTTTGCAGAAAATCAGTGTTAGCTCTTGCTTATTTGGGAGACCTGTGCCTAAGGTTTCTGTCTTCATTCCACAAGGGAATAAATAGGTACCATCCATTTATACTGTCCCTAGAGTTCACAAAACCTCCAAAACCTGAGCTGGAGCAGCAGGACAGTGCCCCATGCCATGAGTGGAGGTGTGTGGGGGGGGTGGGGAGAGGGGGGCAGCCCTTCTCAGCACCTTCCTTGGGGCATCAGGTCCTGGAGTTAACTATTTTATTTAGCGGGGATAACAATAAATACCATCTTATTTCAGCCTCTGCCATTGACAGTCATTTTAGTGATGCCACAGTCTATTTTCCTGTTATCTTTGGATGAGCCAATTGGACTTCTCCTTGGTAACAAGAAGTCGCAACAGGCTCTCTCTAAAATCAACAAAACAAACCCCTGGGTAAGGATTCAAACAAGAGAAGAAAGAATGTGAGAGGAAGAAAGGTGTGCCTCGTGCAGGCCATCAGCCTGGCCCCACAGCCTCTCCTCCTCGGCTGGGAGCACCAAAGATAGCAGCATGCTGGGTGACAGCAGAGCCTCGGCAGGCAGAGGGAGCATTGGCTACCGGAACACCTGCCCTTCCCTGGGATGCGGTGAGAACTCACTGGCTATGTGAGTTCGGAATGGGTGTACTGCAGGTCAGCTTCCCTCCACAAGACAGTGCCTGCACAGTGGCAGCACATGCCCAGCCCGTGGCTGAGGAACCTGAGATCCCACAAGGGCAGAACACCTGGCACTCCCGATTCAAGCAGAGCTATTTGAGACTGCTATGCAACAGGGAAAAGAAACAGCACTGTTTCTAAGAAAGCCCAGAAAATTAATAAGGATGAGAGACAATGGGAAGAGGCATCGAAAGAGCCAGATCCCCCCCCATCCCCCAGCTCTGCCACAACCTCCATGTGCACGGTCTCCAATCAACATCCCAACTCCCCAAACTGGCAGTGAATTTTAAGAAGATTTTACATTTGCTAGAAATCCAAAATTACCCTGAAGCTCCTCATTATTTTCGCTTCATCTTTCCATTTCAAGAGGTCTTTCTTCTTAGACAAAAAAAGTATAGTTGTATAAAATACATGACAGCAACAGTATTAAAACATGACAAAAACTATGTATGGTGAATTCTTTTGAGCGGTGAAAGTGCTCCTTCTAAATGACTTCTTTGCTTTCTGCAGGTAGCATGTTTTCCAGTATCAGCATGCCTCTCCTTTACAAACTGAAGTCTCGTTAGCAATCTATATGGTTTACTGCACACAGTATATGTAGCAGTTTGACAGTTGGTGGTATGATGAAGGGAGACTTTTGAGAGACTCTTCAAACTTTAACTGTTTTTATTTCACCCCCAGAAATCCAGAGTGAGGCTTCCTAGTTATTCTTTGGAGTGTTTTCCTTCATTTATTCTAATTATTCTTCTCGTAGGCATGTATGATAAGAATTACATTGAGATGAAACAACAACAAAAAATGACAAAGAATTCACCCTACCACCTTCAAAGTATAAAATCGCAAAAGGTTGATCAAAACAAACAAACAAACAAAGGGAGAATTGTTGCTAAAACAAAGATTTCTTTAAATTTGTCTAAAGAAAAAAATCACATCTCCCTTTGCCCACAGTAAAAACCTGTTTATTAATCCCCCTGAGATTAACCAGGTGGAATTGTTGCTGTTAGCATTCCTCAGCACATGAAAGATTGTCCAATCCGGGGAGCCTTGGCCTCTGCTCTGAAATGTAGGAATGACCTCCAAGTTAACTGCCAAGGATTCCGCCCCCTGCTGGTGAAGGGGCTCCCTGCACCACAGCTATGGGCAAGATGCCCAGGGTAGCCACAGTTGCCATGGCAAACACTATTCCTTCTATGGAACAATTAACTTGTTTTACAAAAGGATGAGAGTAGCCTGAAGGTACTGTTCCCAGTTGCTCTGAAGACACACCATACCCATGCTAGAACTATTCTCTAAATTGGGGCGTACCAAACACACAGGCACCTGTGTTTGGTAAGTTAAAGGTGTTAAGTTAAGACAGTGCTGACTGTGATTGTGGCTGTCGTATTAGTGGTCATTAATTACAATTCCCATAAATGCTGTGGTTTAAATTTACAGGAACGTAATGGAAATTTAAAGACTCACTTTAATGTTGAAAGAAAAATAATCTCCTCTTAGATTTTTGCAGCATTTTTTCAAAAATTGTTTTTCAACAATTTTCAAACATGGGCGACTGAATGATTTGGAGGCTTGATCTAGTTAGTGCATTGCTGACACACCCCAAGCCACCAAGTCTACATTCCACATGATTAGACTTTTGGGGAAAGATGGTAAAAGGAAATGTTGGACTAAAAATGAGGAGACCTGGTTTCAAGCCCAGCTGTACTCCAGACAGCAGATGAAATAAGAGAATCTCCAATGGCTCTACCATCAGCAACACCTAGAGAGCTTGTGAAGGCCACACCTTCAAACTTCTTTACCCAACCTTGATAAATGGCTCAGGAGCCTAACCTGAGAACCTGCATTTTTAGAAATGTGCTCAGGACATGCCAGGTGGTTTGGGAAATGCAGGATGAGATAGCTTCTAAGGTGTCAGCTCTAATAGATGACTGATAATGCATTTCGTTATTTATAATGGTCTAAATTAATTAAAGATGCATAGTGTTTTTAATTAATAAAAACAAAAATAAATAACAATATGAAGTTTAAAAGGTTAACATGATGGTGTGTTTGGGCAGAGAAAAATTGGCTTTATTAAGGGAAGGGGAAAGAGGATGAGAATTCCAAAGGGAAGGGCCGCACAGCACCGAGCCACAGGGGCCCTGGGTCGGTGATGGCAGCCCGGGAGCTGGAGTTTCATCCTGATGCGCAGTCACTGGGGGGAAGCTCTTGTTGGTGGGCCTGGGGCTGAGCTGGGCTGGGAATATGGAGGGAACACATGTGTGCAACCAGGTGCCTCAGGACAGTTTCCATTCCTAACTTGGTCTGAGTCCTGGTGTCCAATGAGTTTTTCCTGGTTTTTTGTTCTGTGGTGGGAAGCTTACAAATGTCCATCAAGGGTTGCATTGCCCTATAATCTTAACATGTCCCTCCTCTTTCTCTTTGTTAGTAGTTATTCTTAATTTTTAACATACACCTCTTTTCCTATAGCAGCCTGAAATTGTCGCCCATGTGTTATTTCATAGAGACTCAGACCAATCTGCTTTGGAAAGCTGCTCTAATCCTAAACAGGGCAATTAGCAGTACCTAATCCCAATGCAGATTACTCCCTTGGCATAATTTGTCTATAATCTTCTTCCGGGTGTGGCTCATTTTTTATTTTTCCCAAAGGTTGGGAGCGGTATGCTAAGTGGACTTTTATGTGATACTCAGAGCTGAGGACACCTGATGAGTGACTTGGAAGGTAAAAACTGGTCCTGTGGCAGCCACTGCATCACTTGTCTGCTTTTGTTCTTTTTCTGGACCTGGAGCTGAAGGCCTACATAGTATCTTTAGGACAAAAAGGTCAAGGAATCTAAACCCTTTGATTAATGATATGAAAAATCAAGGGTCCACACTGCATGACTAGTTTTATGCTAGGGTCAAAGAAGCTGAGCCACCCAGCTTCCATCAGGTTTTCGTGCAATTTCTGTAGACTTGGATGAATTCCTGAAGTTGAGGTCCCCAGTGAGGTCTTGCAGTTTCTTCCTTGCCATTTTTAAGGAAAGTTGCCTTTATTCCTTACCTGGAAATTCTAGCATAAAACACATGATCACACAAGGTACCGGGCTTTCTCCAAGGGACTCTTCTTAGGGTTTCTGGTGACAGTCACAGGCAGGCATGTCTTTCTTATATATGACACCCCAGACAAAGTCTTGGTTAATAAAACCACAATTGGAAATTGGTTATATTGAATTCACACAAAGAAACACATCACCAT